ATAAGCTCGAAAATTAGTAATAAGCTATAAGCTAGCTTATCAGCTATCAGGTAGCTTATCAACTAGTTTTACCAGACATAGACTAAGGTTATATGGTAGTAGTGTCACCACCACACCAATCCTAATTATTTGATAAATCTAATAACGTTATATATATAGAGTTGTATGAATAAATCAGATTATTAAATTTAAAAGATAAGGCATTAAATTAATAGAATATAAAATTATAATAAATTAAATTATAGAAAGTTAAATGAAAATAAAATAATTAAAATAAAGTAAGATAAAACATGTTATAGTAAAATGAATTTAAATTAATTTAAATATATTTTTATATTTATTATTATTCAATTAATTATATAATATGGAAATAAAGAATAATATATTTATTATTTTATTTTATCTTTTTTATACTTTATTATCTTATATTATATTATTTTTATAATATTTTAATTGATGTACCTTAACTTATTTTATATTTAATTTATTTTTATCATTATTATTTTTTATATCCAAATTTATATAATTAATTTAATAAATAATAAACATATAAATATATATATATATATTCAGTTTAAATTAATTTAAATTCATTCTACTATAACATGTTTTATCTTAATTTTTTATTTTTTTTATTTTCATTTAATTTATATAATTTATAATTATTTATATTTTATTAATTTAATACATTATCTTTTAAATTTAATTTGATTTATTTATACGCAACTCTCTATATATAAAACGCTATTAAGTTTATCAAATAACCAAGATTGGTGTGGTGGAGGCACCACGACCATATAACCTTCATGTCTCAGGTTCGATTTATTTATTTTTTATTGACACGTGAAATGTCATGTCGACAGAAAAATATCATGTTATTGACACTTTTTATTTTCAATTGACAGGTGGAATGTCATGTCAACAGAAAAATGTCATGTTATTGACACGTGGAACGACATATTAGCATAAAAAATGTCACGTCAACGCGATGTCAGCACAAAAAGCCCGAATTGAGCCATGTGATTCGAATTGCAAAAAATAGTGAAAGTTGTATATTAAATTGCTAAATTACAAATATGGTGATTAAATTACAACACTATGAAAGTTGGTGTATTAATATGCAATTTTGCCTATCATTTTTATAAAATCAATTTCTTTTTACTCAATTTTTTAATCTCACTTGGCAAAAAATTTTGAAAAAATCTTATATCACATCACACCCTTTATTTTGTGATATATAAGTACAAAAGGGTCCCATTTATTTATTTATTTATTTATTTTTCTGAATTTCATTTTATTATATATAAAAAGACAACATCAAACTACCTCAAAATCTCAAACCCACTCCCACACCCCTGTCTGAAAAATCTCACAAAAATTTCTGTAAAATAAAAGATAAAAAAATAAAAAATAAAAAAACAACTCCTCACAATGTCCGGCGGCAAGAAAAACCACCACAACATTCTCCACACGGTGGCCGTCAAACTATCCTGCTGCCGTCGGCCGCGGCCCTCCTCCGCCTTCAGCCCCTCCCAACGCCGGCCGGCCCAGCCCCTCTCCGGCCACCACCTCCGCCGCCGCCGCCACCCCCACTCCTCCCCCTCCGCCGCCACGTGGGACACCACCACCACCACCGTCTCCACCTCCCCGCCGGCGTCCTACTCCGGCGACGCGCCCGGATTCGGCGGTGTGGCCGTGGAGAAGGACTCCGACGACCCGTACCTCGACTTCCGGCGGTCGATGCTTCAGATGATACTCGAGAGGGAGATATACTCTAGGGACGAGCTCAAGGAGCTCCTCGACTGTTTCCTCCGCCTAAACGACCCGTACTACCACGGCATTATCGTTCGGGCCTTCACCGAGATCTGGAACGGGGGCCCACCGGGAAATCACGGCCCGAACTCCGGGTGGTGGTTCCCCGGGGGATATTAGGTAATTTTTAAAGGCATTTTGGTAATTTTGAATAAGGATTGGCTAGTTGAATTGTAAAATTTGGTCGCTATTAGGTAATATTAAGGGCATTTTAGTAATTTTAAATCATACACACAATGTGAGTGTGTGTTGATCGACAAACGGTTAAAACTCTTGTGAGAGAGAATTTGTCCGGTAAAAATCACAATTAATTTTAAGGGGAAAAATTAAACTTTGCTATATAACAAATATGTAGCTATGATTCTATTTTCATTTTCAATTGAAACTGCAATGGAGATTAATTTTCAGAAAAATAAAAAATAAAAAATGTGATTTTTATAGAACAAATTCTGCTAACATTAATATCCAAAAATTAGGGGGCCAAATTATGATTTAATTAGCCAATCTCTAGTTTATATATTTTGTATAGGATATTGTGGCTTTTTCATGGGCTTGCAAAAGTACTTGATTAATGGTACGTAATTGTAATATTGATGTGATTTAATTAGTGTTAATTATGATGATTGCAGTTAAATTATAGGAAAATGCTACAGTGCCGTTACGGAACCATTCTGTCGAGATTTGTAACCGTTAGATCATCATGTAACCGTCGTGGATAGTTGATCCAACCGTTATAAAATCTGACGGAATTGTTCCGTAACGGGCCGTAGAATCTCCCCTAAATTATAATGCTTTAGGTAATTGTAATATTGTTGTGATTTAATTAGTATGCATGCATGTAATTTTTCTTTTTTCTCTTTTGCCAAATTATTTTCTCGAACGACGAGTATATATGTTAATGTTAATCAAAATCTTTTTTTTTTTCAAGTATAATTATTTTAAGATAACATTTCATTTAATCTATTTTAACTAGAAAAATGTATATAATTCAATTAATGAGGCAATTATATGCATCTGCATCTAAAAAGATACACCCGTAGATGATTTTAGTCGTGTCCAAATTCTATTGGTTGACCCCAACTTGATTGTTCTTACACCTCATTTCATGTGAATTTTTTAGGATTATTAATTACATACATTATTAAATTACAGTGTTCAATAAATACAGATGGTTGAAATTTAATGGGCCAATTATATTTTGCCGTGTGGCCACCGTAAAATTAAATGGCCCAGCCCAATTATATTATATATTCCTTCATCACCACAATAATAAAAAAAAATGATATTCCTTGTGACACTTTACATATTTTCGTATTAGAATAAATAAATTAAAATAATTAAACTTGAGAGATTAATGTATTGAAAAATTATGAGGTTATAGTTCTCAGATAAGTAAATAAATAAATAATTAAACTTGAGAGCTGATCATCTTATAAGCATATATTTATAGTCAGTGTTCGAAAAGTCGGCCTAGGCGGCCGCCTAGGCGCCGCCTAAGCGCTAGGCGCCGGTACAACGCCTACGATTTGGCAAAATCGGCCATAAATATCGGCCGGGCGGGCTCGGCGGCGCCTAGTCGGGCCTAGGCGGAGCTAGGCGGCCTCGGCGGCTACGCGGTTTTGGCGA